GCGCTATCAATGCCTTAACTACACACCTTTTCCATCCAACAATTTACTCCAAGTGCTAACGGATAAACCAACAAGCCATAGCAAATGAATGCTACAACCCTTTTCCAACACCTTAGTGGGCAAACTCAAGGAAATAAGGAACCAACTTAAGCTTAGCATAATGGACCACCATCGAGAATCCAGTCAAAGCTACTACAATGCTACTTTATGCAAGTAGACTAGCTTCACCATCAACCACTTTGGGGTTGATCATCACTTAACCAAGAAACTTCGTAAACACATTGCTCATTATCACATGGATATGATATAGAAATTACAATGACTTGATCATCAATTGAGCAACACCACAAGCAATGCCAATGTCATTACTTCAAAGGTTTATGTGAGTATCAAGTGCCAACTCAATTCGACAAAATGCAACATAAATGCCACACTCCACCAATAAAGACTTACAACACTCAACACCACTAACTTTTGTTCATAACATGGACAAGCTCATGCTACTCTCTATCCAACCAAACTCAACACTAATCCAACACCAAGCTACTTAAGGAGCAATAACAAGGTTCCCCAGAAAAGAATTGAGCATTGTAACCTAAGTCTTCCAATAGCAAGTCTAGATAAAATGGTTTAGCGCTTCACCATTATCCATCCCATGACTCACCATTTACAAGACCATCATTTCCAACATGCATCAAGGTAGGGACTCTTGATTGCATGATGTGAACACGAGCAATGAGTCACACCTCGTTGCGTATCATCTTTCCAAGAAGAGAAGATGATTTACGTGTTTGATCCTTTGTCCCTAATGACTCTCTTTTCGGTCTCATCTTTGACTACACCTCAAGCTTGCGTTTGCACTGCTTTCAGTCTAATCCAAGAAAAGTTTATGAGAGAGCACGGCAATGATTACCTGAATCAATAGACTAATCCCTACAGTCTTGATTGATCCACTTGTAATCATGCCTAGGAAGGACCCACTAGTGCCATGCTAAACAGCTATGGACTAGCCTATTTGCTACTCATAGCAAACCCAGGGAAAGTTTGCTTTCACCCACGGTACATGGAACAACTCATGGAACCACCAATAGGCTAACATTAATCCTGCCAACTCAAAGTGCAACTTTGAGTTGCTAATGTGCCTCACTCACGAGCCCAAGCGTAAACTCATGCTAACGGAGTATCTCAAATCCATCCTATGAGCCCAAGAGCAAGCTCACATCATAAGGTACAACAAGGTAACCAAATCCATACCCAAGGAACAATTGTGAACCCTTTGCACCAAACGTGTACCCACTCGGATCATCGTTTTCATCTCTGCGTATGCAACGAGACTAGTTGCCCAATCTCATTAAATAGTATTCGCTGAGACTCATTCTCTGATACCAAATGTAGCACACGTGGTTTTGACCCTTTATCCTATGGAGATTTACCATAGGATAACACCACGAAGCGGAACCTAACCCTCTTTGTGCCACGTGATAGATGCCACGTGTCCATGCCACGTGTCCATAGGAACCCGAGGTTCAGGGCCTTAGGCCACTGAACGAAGGAACGGTGCCAAACTCCCAAGCATAGAGCCAAGGAGTGACGGAACCGAACCACGGAGCAACTCCCGAGCATAAGCCCAAGGAGCGAAGGGACAGGAGCCCGGAGGGACTTGGAACAGTCCTGGAGCAACCAGCATCCCAATGCCAGGACTAGCATGCAAAACAGAGCCAAATGGAGTCTGGTGCTATTTCGGCATACCGGTGGCCTAACGTGAGGATATGGGTACTCCACCAGCTAGCATGGAATGGAACTTGGGCTTAGACCCAAGCCGGATGCAGAACAAGGACAAGCACGCAAGTGGAAGCTAGACTATGCCTCAAGTTGGTCGGCTATGCCTGACCTACCCACTATCCCTACTATACATTTGAAACCCCCTATAGCCCCCCCCCCCCCTTGAGGAACACACGCTTTGGGCTTTCACCCCAAGCTTCCTTTAGTATCAGGAGTTAGTCTCTGGGGCAAGCTCGAAACTTACTAAATATGGAATGTCCTTAGATTGCGAATTTGGACACGGGACAAACACCATTGTGTTCAAGACAATCTCTACATTCCGTAGATGTGCCAAATGAGCAAATCTGGACACTTTCCATAAATAGCATTTGGGACCGGAATGAGACCAACACAAAAGGCATGATAGCGAGGGTGTTTGGCAGACACGGTAAGCTATCATGTAGCGATATTGAGGGACCAATCTCAATATGCGAGGGTTCTTGTCACTAGCAAGTGCAAGACAAAATGAGACGGGAACTCCTTACCGGGCTAAGTATGCTTAGCTAATAACACGTAGGAATTCCGTCCTTATGCTCGTCTGGTCTCGAAATGCCCAATTAACTCCACTAGCACAAGAGGGACTGATAAAAGGTCCAGCAATACTGACCTCCTGCCATCGTGGCAGTAAGGTAAGAGTGTCCGTAAGGACTAGTCGACAAGTAACTTTCGATACTCGAAGTCACATTCGCGACAAATTCTAATACTTTTTGCTAACTTTGTGCTTTTGTGTTTTTTGAGAAGCTCACTATAAACAACCAAAGAGAACGACTTGAGAAATGATATGCAAGGATATAAATACAAAGGGAAAGGGCTCATACATCCCTTTTTTTTCAATTAGTTAAGGTTCTTAAGATTGTATGTTAAGTGTCTTTGAGTTTAAATAATACTGGGTTGTATAACATCTAAGGAAGTCCAAATTTAAGAGCTTACAGATCTAACTCTATTAATTAGATAAGAGAATCACACTATAAATTGAAATTATTGACAGTCCAATTTATTCTAATTCTATTAGAAAGATAAGAGAGTGAGATTCTTAGCTTTTATTTATGAGGGTGTGAACTTTAGGAAAGCTTGATGGATTATAAGGAACCAAAGAAAACAATTTGAAAGACAACCTATAGTGTTTAAATATAGAGGAAAAAGGCCCATGAATAAAAATATACCCCCTTTTCTAATTAGTTAAATGTCTTGGGATTTTTAGGGTTAAACATCTTTGGGTTTGAATAATATTGGGTTATATAACCTCCTAAGAAGTCTAAGTTCAATAGTTTACACTTATTACATAACTAGCCATGTCGTGAGATATTTACCAGTGACGTGGGCCAACTAGGGCAAGTTCAACTATTCCTCCTTTTTAGATAGCACAAACACCCATAATTTATACCACTAGTGTAGCATATGTGATTATAGAATTGAATATACTATCAATATAAATCCTTAGAACTTATAGGGATAAAATAATTATTAAAGGTGTTTTCATAAAGCATTTGCCCCTTTTTTAGTTGACTTAAAGTGTGTTATATGTGATATCAGAGGAAATGGCATGGGTTTGATTCATTGATTAGTGGCTATTTAAAATATAATATACCTTTGAGTTAGGTATATTTCTACCCCTATTAGGCATCCATGAGTACATCTTTTGTTTTGTAGAGCATTTATAGACAAAGGTATCTGCTGTGGGATTGCAGTATGAATGAATGATTAATTGCCTCATAATTGGTTTATATAATGGAAGGATTGGTAGATTTAGTGTGGAAATGAAAGTGCTAGTTCCTCTAATCTCAATAAAGGTTATTAATCAATGGTCAATAAAAACATTGATATCTCTAAAAAGGGGGGTGAGTATGGATTTGGATGGGGAAAAAATAGCTCTTAAGTGCTCTCTCATTAAATAATTACCCTTTTCAATTGACTTAAAACGAAGGAGATAAGATATACTTCACCAAGCATACCAAATAGTCAAACTCACCTTTATTCACCCATGTGTTTGGAAAAAATCCTATACTCACTTGGGCAAGTCCCTCTAAAAAATGCAAAAACAACAACAATAGTAAAGGCTAGGGAAATCCATGGCTACCCAAATCACTTATTGGCTGGAAAGATTAAACAATCAAGCTAGAAGCTCTTAGTCCTTATTGTACTACACAAGAGTAATCTTGTATGGGAGAGGATGATGTAGTATGTTCAAAGAAGGAGGGATGGCTTGAGGCCACTATGTTTCTATTGGTCAGTTATAAACCATTATAGAACTAGTAGAATGGGGGCTCCAAAGTGCTGGGTAAGGCATAATTACCCTCAATTGCCCCACCATCATATACTCTTGTAAAAAGAGAACAATTTTCTATTTCTTATATATGGTCAAGGCCTTTATGTTGCCACCAACAGCCATAAGGCACTCTTTTGCTCTAAAATTCTCCCTCAAACTTTCTCAATCCCCCTAGAAGAACACTTTGAAAATCTCTCTTAGATTCACTCTTAGATTCAACACTTTTAGATTTAAAATCACTATTCCAAGTCCATTGTTTTACTAGCAGTCTATGGAATGCTCACACATAAACTCAAGACAATCTATGAAATCCCTCTAGAAAACACTCTTCATTCTAATTCTATAAGAATATTATTAAACACTTTTAAACGTCTCAAGAAAAGGGTGAGGCCCCATCAAACTCTTCCTATCACCATCCCCTATTTATATATCTTACTCCCATCTAAATCTCTTAAAATTAGATTATAAATCTTTATTTGCACTTTGTCTTGTAGTGAAAATCTTAAACACCTAAATCATAAAAGAATATTTTAATGGATCTCCTCTCTTTTGCCTTAGTGCCATGGGGTTTGGATTATGTTTAGCATCAGTTTGGCTTATATATTAAGAAAATTTCCAGATAACATTTGGTGATTCTAGCTTCTTAGAAATTATTTTGGAAATTATTATAGGTAATTTTCCAACAAGGTAAATTTTTGTACAAAATAGGGCATTTATGGCTTTTAAAGCTAAATTTGCAACTAATCATATCACATCCTAACCACCTCACATAAATTCTTACATATAAATTCTTAACTACCTCACATAAATTCATATATAAAAATTCTTAAACTATTTACTAATATGATGACTTAAATCTTTATATTTCTGATAGGAAAACAATCTCATCCATGAAAATTTTCTACCTGCCATATGTAATTCAAAAAATGTTTGTTTTTCTCAATATATTACACAAAATAATCCATTTCATAACACAAATGGAGGAGCTCTTTTCACTTTCTTCTCTTCTCTTTTGTACATGTATCTCTTTGGATTCTTTTCTCTATTCTCTGCACAGGAAGAAGAAATCATCATCCTTCACAGCAATGCGTTCTAGTTTACCTTCAAACAATTAATAGCATGGTTGAAAGGAAGAGCTCCAGTTCGTTTCATCGTAATAACGAAGATCCTTTTGCTTCCGGGATAGAACGCTGAGCGTACTCACAGTTTGTTTCCCGGGGCCGTTCGATCCACGCTGCGAATGTTGTATTGCTCGTGGACTCTCTGCCGGTTCTCTTGCCACCATTGCTCGGCTTGCTTCTCACTAAACCGCTTGCGACTGGAAAATGAAAGAAGAGTTATCATCAGCAAAGAGCAAAATATAAGAAATCACGAAAACAAAGATCACAAAGAAAACAATGTAGGAAGAAAAAACAGAAACACAAGCAAGGCGCTGCTCAGGTAGTGATCGATCGAGAAGAAACGAGAAAAAGCAAAGAGAGCGTGTACCTGAATCTCACTCTCTTGAGCTCCCTTCCTCCGGCCGGAAGCACGCATAGTGTGAGATAAACTCCCGGCTGGTCTTGTTCCACCCAATCGTTCTCGGGCTCAGGGCCTCCTCCAGTGTCCGTCTTCTCGCCATCGGTGTCATAAGCTCGAGTGAGCAAACTTGGCCTTCGACTGGAAGCTTGCTGCTGCTGTGCAGGACTGGCGAGGCCATTCGTGTCTGGAGCGATGCTGCGAAGATTTGGAGTGAGAGCTCCCAGCGAGTATCTCAAGTGAGCCGTGGAGTAGCCACCTTCGTCATCGGTGACCGAGAGCGAGTCTAGAGTTGTCACCGGAGGATGGACGCCGTTTGGAAGTTGGTCGTGGTGGAACTGTTGCTGCTGCTGTTGCTTGTGGCGATGGAGTCCGGCTGGGACTCGCTCAGCCATTTCCTTGAGCTGTGTGGATTCAAAGAAGAAAAGTTGGCTCTTTACCTCTATCGGAAAAAGAATGGAGTACCTGTGCTGTGAGTTGCTTGATTACTTCTTTTGCTGCTTGGCACTTTGCACTCTCCTCGCCGGCGATTGCCAGAGCCTCTTGGACTTGTTGCGCGGACCTTCGTAGCTCCGCGTCTTGTTGAAGTAGCTTTCGATTCAAATCCTCGACCTTTGGGAAAAACGAGCCAGGAGGAGTGTAAGAATATCGAGCAAAGATAAATCAAAGAACAAGATCTAAGAACGAGGAAAACGAAACAAACGAGAGTGATGAACGAGAAAATCGCCAATGGAAGAAACAAGCGAGAGTAAAGAACGAGAAAGTATTAAAGGACAAGGAAAGAATGCTGCACGTACCTGTTCTTTCAATTTCACAACTTCGTGGTTGACAACATCGTTCTCCCTCTTGAGCTCATCCACCAGCGTTTTCGGAGTCGCAAGGCCAGCCAGAGTCGGAGTCGGAGTGGCCGAGCGAGGAGGACTCGGCCTCCTCGAGAGTGGAGAAACGCTCCTGGAAGCCACCCTGGAAGTCGGGACCGAGAGAGCCGACACCAAAGGTCTCAAACTGCTGCCACTCCCGCCGCTGGCATACGGATTAAACACCGAGGGAATGTCCACAGCACCCCACGGCTGGACCGAGCTCGAGAATTGCAAAGCCTGGTTGAGATGATACTGCGGTTGCTGCTGCTGCTGCTGCTGCTGCTGCTCGGGCTGGAGCTCCAGCTTCCTCGGCTTCTTCACAGACCCTTCGCTTAGTTTCCTCGCATCACTCCCTCCAACCGGCGGCTTTGCAGCTTTCCCTTCGCCGGGCCTCTCCGCTCGAGTAAGAACTTCGGAAGCTCGTCGACCACCTTGTTGTCCTTGCGTCGCCACCATTGATTTCCTCGGCACTCCAGCCCCACCACCGCCACCAGGAAGCAGAACTTCGCCACCTTTCTTGAGCTTGACGAAGCAAGGATCGCAGACCCGATACGGCTTCGCTGGATTCGGAGCCAGCGACGCCTTGAGCGCCTTCCTGGCGCTACAAGAGTGGCAAAACGCGTGTCCACAGTTGTAGCAATTGTGCCGCTTGCGAGTGAATCCAAACGGTTGCCGGCAACCCGAGCAGAGCGACTGATCCGCTCCAGACACCCACTTATGCAAGCAAATCGCGGCAGTGAATCCCGAGCCGCAAGCCACGCTCTTGACTTGCTTCTCCTTCAGCGCCTCCACCAAAGTTGGCGTGTTTCGATCCATCACGTCGCCATGCCCGAGCCTTCCATTCGCTCCCTTACCCCACGTATACACCTCCGTCTTGGCAGTGAGAACAGCTACATGGTAAGCCCCGCAAGCTATCTCCTCCACAAAAGCTTCCCACAGCCGGCCTTCCACAAGCCCGGGAAGCTTTCCATCAGCCCGGACGTCCCCAAGTTGCCCGTAGAGGCTGCTTCCCATCGTAAAAACTCGGCCATTGATCGTCAGCGCCACCGTGAGAGTGTGTCCGCAAGCTACTTGCTTGAAGTTATAGTCGACCAGCGCAGCAACGCATGTTGGCACAAGCTTTTGCTCCTTGTCTCCATGGCCGAGCCGGCCTTTGTCTCCGTCACCCCACGTAAAGAGCTTCCCGGACGATCCCCCGGCATTCGAGTACCCGACCATGACTTCCACCACGGCCGCCGTGTGCCAGACTCCGCAAGCCACTCTCACCGTCTTGAGACCTTTGAGCGACTCCACCTCCTTCGGAAGAGCCACGCTTCGCTTGTCTCCATGGCCGAGAACTCCGAAAGTCCCATCGCCGAAAGTGAAGAGCTGGCCAGCCGAGGTGACGAGCGCCGTGTGCCAGACTCCACACGCCACGGACGAGACCCGGATCCCCTCGAGCGGACCCCCGACTCGCTTCGGAGTCCAGTGGCTGATATCGTTGCCGTGGCCGAGGAGTCCATAGCTGTGAGTTCCATCTCCCCAGGTAAACAAGTCCCCGGACAGCGTCACCGCGCAAGAGTGGTACTCTCCGCAAGCCACGAACTCGGTGTTGGTGGTGGCCAGCGCCTCGACGAGCTTGGGATGCGCGACATCGACGTCCACTCCGTGTCCCAGCCGGCCTCCACTCTCGTCACCCCAGCAAAACACCTCGCCTTGCTTGGTCACCAGCGCGGCGTGCCGGTTTCCACACGCGATGTGGTGAACGTCGAGCACCACCGCTGACTCAAGCGCCTTGGGCAGCAAAGAATCCGTTTTGATGCCACCATCGCCGCTGCCGACGCTCTCACCCCACAGGAAAACGTCGCCGAGAGCGTCGCCTTCTTCCTGGCCGGACCCCTGGCTGGACGAGCTCACGGCGCTGGACATGCTCACGCGAAAGTTGGCGTCGAGAGGGATGGCGGCGGAGGTGGCGGCGGCGGCGCCTCCGCGGAGGTGGAGGACGCTGGCGGCGGGCTCCGAGCTCATGTCCGAGTGGAGAGATCCCGCCGTGGAGGCGTTTTCTAGGAAGAGTTTGGAGGAGGAGTCGAGCGATGGTGCTCCCGGAGAGAAGCTGCGTTGCTGGAGAGCGTAGCGTGGGGGACTTCCGTATGGACTTTGGAAGCGGAAAGCTTCTCGGCCATCCTGGAAGAACGAAGAACGAGAACTCATGAGAAAAAAAAGCTTTTTTGTATCGTTTGATCTTGCAGGAGTACCTGGCGAGGAAGATTATCAACGTTTCCGAACGGGGAGCTCGCTGGAGAGATTCTGGACCACGTCGCGGGGCTGTTTGAGTCCGAGGGAGGACCGCATTCGCTCCTCGAGTCAAATCGCAGGCGTGATAACTGGCCCCCGGAGACAAGAGCTTTGAGTCCCACGAACCACACCTCGGCCTCGTCCTTGTCTTTGCAAATCTGCGAAGAACACTTTTACTCTCAACAAACTTTCCCAAGAACATCACGCCGTACCAGGTCGAGCGAGCGATCGTTGCCATAAATGAGCGAGAACGATTGATACTCCTTCTCTAACCTCGGATATCTCTGAAAGTTGGCCTGCAAAACCAAAAGCTCTCAGCAAACTTTTCCGGGAACCGATGATGGATGAATTCGATCGCCGATTGATCGAGGAAAGAACTTACAGTTCGCTGGCCGGGGACAATCCTTGTGATGGAGCTCAACCGCAAACTCTTCTCCTCCTTTCCAGAGTACCATATCAAGTGTGTTTCATCCTGGAAAAAGTTTGTCACGACTCTACTCGCTCTAAAAAAAAGTGGAGGAAAGATCTTTCGATCGATCGAGCTTTAGCTTTTCACTCACATTGGAGAGCCGGAATGGGCAAAACTTTGGCTTTCCTCGTCTCCCATACTTGAGGAGCTGGGCTCCCTTCTTCAGCGCAGTGATAGCCTTTTACACACGAGAGAAGAGAAAAATTTAATCATGCAAAATAGGCAAGCCAAAGAAAAGAGAGGAAGGAAGAAGGAGAAGAAGAAAAGAAAAAAAACACGACGATGGATGGAACTTGGAAGAAGCGAGGAGAAAAAAAAGGTTTTGAGGAAGAACCTGTTCAATGTCGCGCTCCACGGCCCCATTTCTCGCAAGATCTGCCATCGCCGGAACCAAATTCCTCTAGCTCCGGCGAAGAACAAGACGCCGATGATGATGATAGCGACGGCGCTGTCGATGGCAACGATGCATCTTCACACCCATGACAAGCAGCAATCTAGCTCCGTCCTGCCGCGACCCTGCCTAGATCTAAGCTCGCCGCCGCCACTGGCGAGATCCCATGCCACGCCCAAAATCGCCACTCCTCCTTCGGCTCCTCTTCCTCATCCCTCCTCCAAATGGGAAAATAAACACCTAAAATGTGAGCGCGGGCATTTGGGTAGCGATTCTTTCCACCATAGCTGGCCTTGCGGTCGATCGATCGAGAGATTCTACCATTCTACTCCACTGTTCATCATCATCCCTGTGATACACAGTGACCGAGTCTGCCAAAACAGACAACGCAAATGGAGGGAGGGCAAAAAGAAGGAAGAGAGGAAAAAAGGTTTTTTTTTTCTTTGGCTTCCTCTTTTTTGGGTCGCTGGGAATTTCTCTGTTCTCGAATGGGTTGTGCTTGGATTCTCCAGTGGCGTGCTCAATCGATCGATCTACGAATCAATCCCTAGCTTCTCCTGGAAGGACTGGGTCTCATCGGATCAGAAGAGATGCACAGTCATCAATTTCTTGGATGGATCGAGAGAGGAGCGATCGGAGCTCCTTTTATTTCGGTGGGGGGACCTCCAATTTCTCGCCCTCGTCGCGATCGAGCGCGCAAGAAATTTCCCCTTCTCTCGAAGAGGGAGCGTTTAGAAAAATTAAATACAAGTACACTGTTCCGTACAAGCCCACAATCGCGATCCTCTTGCACGAGACAAAAAGTCAAGCGCTCGATTCCGACCACCGCCAGGAATATCCACCGCGCACCATTTCAAATGCGAGAATATACCCCCTCCTTCCAGGCTCTGTTTTTATTCTTTGTAAAAACGCTTTATTGCTTCTTTCTTTCTTCCTCTTCGCGACGACAAAGCCATAGCCTGCTCTCTTCGAATGAAATCATCTAAGCATCGAAGTTACGTATCCTTATGTATGTAGCTAAGAATGAGAGTGAAAGCTCTTGGAGATCTTACTAGGCGGTGGGGAGGGACTTGGACAATAGTTGCTGCATCGCTCGGGCATAAGTCTTGTGCTGGTAAGTCAGCGTCGATTCCAAGAGATCGAACAGAGATGTCTTGGGTTCCCACTCTGGATCAAACACCAAAAAGAGAGAGAGAGATGTTTAGACACGATTGGTTGATAGAACAAAAGCTAGAACACGATCGTAGCTCTTACCCAGTTGCTTCTTGATGATCGTCATGTCTGGAATGCGCTTGTCGCTGTCATCATATCCCTCCCCGTAAAACTCCTTCGAGCTCACGTCGATTGTGGGCTCGTCCAGCTGCGGCCTGCCGCTAACTTTTGTGTACACCTGTGTGGCACCAATGAGAAGTATGAAGATAAGCCTGGGAAACTGAAAGAAAGTTATAAAAACAACACTTGCCTCGGTCATCATCAGAGCAAGTTCTCTAACTGTGACTTCATTGTCTGGGTTGCCGACGTTGAACACGTAACCATTTGCTCGTTGTGGATTTTCCTGTCATGGTTCCAAGTGATTAGACTACATCTGGATTTATTCCAACATCATAGAGGCTTACCACCATACGCATCACCGCGTCAATGGCATCCTTGATGTAGACGAACGTCCGTTGTGATTGTCCACCATCGACGAGCTTTAGAGGCTCGCTCTTGAGCAAGTTCTGCACGGAAGTAATAAAGTAGCTCGTCACATAACATCAATAGCTAGACTCCACAGAAATGTGGTGGCTTGCATACCGTACTGAAGCAAGCCAAAACTCTTGGTACGCCTTCGCTTGGCCCATCGATCCCGGGAATAAAATCCATCCGTGGCCCAATCCAGTTGAAGGGACGTACGATTGTGAATTCAAGGCCGTTCTCTGCTCCCTCGGCTGGAAAGATTATATAACACCACAACCACATGACTTAGTTTCTTTCAAACAGAAACTTTGCTTACCATAGATGACACGCTCGATCAGCTGCTTTGCACAAGCATACGACCATCGCTGCTTCTCAATCGGGCCAAAAATGCAAGGAGACTCGTCCTCCTTAAGCACGTAGTAACTCGGGTCCTGTCGCCACGAACAGAATAAAAAAACACGATAGAAGAAAAGGTAAAGTCAGACGAAGAGAAACTGGATAGAGATCACCAGGAAAAACAAAATACATGCCTTCCTCAAGGAACTGTCCTCGGGCAAAAAGCTTCCAATCGTTTTTCCATACACTTCGCACGTAGAAAAATGGATCAAGCGCTTGTTGTTGTCCGAGCAATATCTAACCTGTTCGTTCTCAGTCACTTAAGTTCCAAAAAGCAAAAAATAAGCTCTAAAAACAACTATCAAGCTCTAAAAAAGAACTAAAAACACTCTCGAAACGCTAAGAAAAACTACCGACTTACCACTGGCAATGCGTCAATAAAATTACTGTAGATCGTGTCGAGCGGCCGCGTGTTATAGTCTGCCGGTGTGCAAATTGCCGCTAGATTGATAGTCTGGCCACACACACAAGGATCTCCCGTGAGGAAAAACTCGAAATCTCTAGCTACATTCCAATGGAAATCCCATCTATGGCGACTTACCAGGTCGGCGAGCTTGATAAGCCCCTCGAGCCGCGAATCGTGCTTGATATTGATCCTGTGGAACTCAATCCGGCTGCTCCAAGATTGCCCTGGCTCCAGCAAATGCTGGATTTTGTCGCTGTAGACATCAATCGCCAGCACCGAATGCTGCGTCTCCCACATGAGCTTCTCGCACAGATGCGAGCCGATGAATCCCCCAGCTCCTATCATACAAATCTTGAGCGGCTCTATCACCTGTCCATCCAGATCTAGCCTCGCCGCCATGGATGCCAGCCTGTTGCCACAGATCCGGGCAATGCCGCGCCCCCGCGCGCCCGCGCCCTCGCGTTCTTCCCACACTGAAAAAATGAAGCACCGAAAATTTCTTTTTCACCCTTCACGGGTGTTCTTTAAGGGACCTCTTAACGGACGGAAAATGCGGCAGGATATTCCGCCCGCACGAGGTACATTCTGTCGGACAATAATATTCACGGAATATCCCATGACGCGCTTTATACGTAGCCCATCCTCCAGGCAACACACTCAGCCCCTCTCGAGCTTCTGGAAAATCAAACATTAGCTCCAAAGAAACTATGATAGCGACCAAAACCTCTCGTAGAAAACCTCTAGAAAAGCAAAGAAAACATACTTCTCGGCCGCTTGGACGTCGCTTGTCAGCGAGAAAGCTCTGCGACGAAGTCAATCGAATCAGTGCCACCGATGTCCGGCTCTGGAAGCAAAGCGTTAGATCAAAAACTCGACTGGAAGTTCTACCGGAAGAATTCATGAAAACCAAAGATTTGTTTAGAGCAGCAGTTTAGACATACCAGTTCGATCAAGAACAACGTCCACCAGAAGCCGGGGAGCCCAAATCCAGCTCGGTAGAATGCCTGCACGATTGATGGAGACGTGAGAGTCGTGTGCTCCAAACGGAGTGATTTGGAAAGCTCACCAGGGTGACCATTATTCCGCCAGAGTAGCAGCAGACCATTGCGAAGCCTAGGAATTTGAGATCTCGTCCTGCCTGCCAGGACAACGAAAAGAATTGTTTAGAGATGGTCAGCATCCCGTAGACAAAAACGAAAAAGCTACTACATACCAGTAAAGTGCCTTCCAGTGCAAGCATGGGTGGAGTCACGACCAGCGTGCACAGCACCGGCAGACTTATTCTACGCATCTGAAAAGATTTCCCAAGGTGTAAGAACTCTCATCAGTATCAACAGTGACACTCACTTTCTCAATTATCACCACGTCCTTTGTGAAGACTTGCGGAACAAGCCACGGGATTGAGATCGCGGAAAACCCAGCAACAAGCCCCACTGTTGCACCAATAATGAGAAGGATTTGGAGAAGAACACGGGCCTGAGCATGAGATTAAACCGTGACGTTTTCTGTTCGAGAAACTAGGAAACGCGAGTACCTGATTCAAGTCGCGAGAGGATCCATCAAGTAACGCAGGCATGAATGTCTGCGCTGTCTGAGCTAAAGGTTCTCCCCATACGTAGCACAAGTTCTGGATTCCTATCATCACCTGCAAGTTTCATGGTTTTACTTCCGTCTTAGTACTGTTTGGCCGGGCCTGGAATTATAAAAACAATTACCTGGTGCGCAGCAAGATTTAGGGGCCCCAACGTCGATGCAAGATATGTACACAGAGTATAAAACACGACCTGCAGAATGTTTCTTCAGCAACCAAGTCAAGACAGGAACGAGGAGGCAACCTCAAAAACGGTCGTTGTCAAAACAGGAACGACTATTTTCAGGAGCTGCTTCAAATCTTTTCTTGACGGGAGGCAGACAAGAAATATGTTGTATCCTTTATGAACTAAAGACTTGAGCATCAAAACCACTGCAACATACTGCCGAGGAAACATTTCATATGAGCGTGAAGAACTTGTAGGCAGCATGAGTTACCTGAGCAAAAGATGTTGCCCAAGCCGCGCCGGCGATTCCAAATCCTAGAGACGAGCACAGAAGAATGTCTCCGACGGCATTAATAGCACCGGCAATGGCTAGCACCTTCAAAGGGCTCCAAGAATCCTTCATTCCAAGGCTGGAGAAACTCCGGTGCAAGTTATATGCTATTCACAGAATCCAACTTACATAGCACTTTGAGCAACCATTCCAACAAGCATTGCTGGCCATGACAAAGCTCTAATCTGAAAAAATAAGAGGGCAAACTGAGAAACCTACGTAAAAGATCGTAGAACTACCTTTACCTTTACGTATGTCGCAGCAGGAGATACCAGGAAAGAATTCTGTGACTTTAGGAAACCTGATTGATTTCAAAGCGAATGATTGAAGCTAAAGAATCGTCTTACCTTGGAGAAGTGGAGTCGCGTAGAACTCCATCAAAACGAGCATGCCGATGCCGAGGCTCAACGATATCAAAAGCAGCCGAGACAAATGCTGCGCTGCTTCTTCCAGATCCTGATATAAAAACGAGCGAGTGACTTCAAAGTCTGGAAAGATGAAAAAATCTCTACACTCACATTGCGAGCCAGCGAAGTTGCAATAAGATTGGAGGTGGCCACCGATAAAAACATGAACAAATACGAGACATGGTCGCAAAGAACTGTTGCTGGCCCTGTCTAGAAAATTCTACGTAAGGCAAAGAAGCAAGGAAGTGAAAAAGAAAAAGCTCAAAGCTTACCAAGCGCTGCTAGCTCGAGGGTGCTACAATTTCCAATCACCGCAGTGTCAATGAGGCTCATCAAAGGACTGAAAAGCCAGATCCCAAGCGCGGGTCCAGCAAAGGTCATGATCTTCCAAAACTGCCGTAGCAATTTTTTCCCCCAGACAAGACGAAGAACAACGCCGGAAGAACCATCCGCCGCTGCGCTGGACTCGTAGAACTCCTCCTTGGAAATATACTCAAACTTCCCATCGCTGTTTCGAAATCTATAGCCACCGCGCTGGCTCGCCTGGCTCCTCCAATCCCTTCTGGGCCTACATTCGCGAATCGAAGCCTCGAGCGACGGAGCTGGAGCAGCAAAACTCCTGATTCTCACCAGTCCCCAAGTGGAATCTGTGCCTGTCCACGATGGAAAACCCCCAACAGCGGCGCCGACATAGCCTATTGGCATTGGGATGACGTTTAGGGTTAGGCGAGTCGTGCGCTAGTGCTAAATTTTGCAAACCATCCACAAATTCCACCATCCATCAATTCATCGATTTCGTTCTGGTCCTTTCCACTTGCGAGCAATGGCGATGACGAGCGATGACACCATGCATTTGAGCCTCACGTTCTTCAGCTCCAAAGATTGCCCTTGCCCGTTCCTTCCATTCACAGTCAATCCCACCATGCCATTCTCGTTGGCGATCTTCTTCAGTTCACTGCTTGTTTGGAAATCAACCTTTTAGCTGAAAGTGTATCCAAGCATTCGAATATCCAGGAGTTAGTACAAGCCATAAGTTTAGGCTAATTTTTTTTGCTTGAGAGAGTAAGAAAAAAATAAAAAACAGTTACTGGTTTTGATTGTTTTTTTTTTACTGAATGAGCATTTTAATCACTGATGGATTAATTGAAGTAAAATTTCACAGCTGAAATACTGATCTTACTTATCACTAAAACTTAACAAACACAATTTTATCAAGTTTTTCATTAGCTCTAAACTTAAAAAGTATTATTTAAAAAAATTTAAATAAATAACTTTTTTGAAATATTATATTTTTGTAATTACATAAATAGAAAAATGATATATAAAAATATTTCTATTATTCATAGACTATAAAAAAAATGGACATTTGATATTAAGTAGATCAAGTGCATACATAAATATAAACTAAATGATGGATTAAACATAGTGATTATTAAATAAATATATTTTTTTTTATGAGAATAAAATTCTTAATTTTTCTAACAAGATAATATTTTATAGTATATTTTTCTTACCGTGAATTTGAAATGAATTTTTTTTCATTTAAATATATTCCATAAAAAAAATTATCTAAAATAAAACTACCAACTAAAACTAAAATTTATATTTAGGTAGTTAATTTTGTTACTTATGAATATTCATTATATAAACCAAGATGCTTTGCCAGGGATAGATTCCCTGCTCGGTCAGGCATAGCACTGGATTACAGTTGCCAAACACACGGCGTCCCACTTTGGCATTCGATCTCTCGCAAAGTTGCATTTCGAAAAGGACCGGACGGCTTGATGACCATGAAAAATACTAAAAAAAGGAAGTTTCGAGAGATTAAATGATTACACTCGATGCGTTAAAAGGAAATGGCAATTTGATAAAAAAGAGCATATTCCTTTTTTTTTAGCCCTTGGGCGGGAAAGCAGCGGAGCGCGATGGCGGAGAAAGAGAAGGCAATGAATAACAAGGTGGGTAAGAGGAGAACGCCAAAGCAGAATCCATGCCGCCTCACGTTCGTCAAAGAGAAGCGGCTCGATCACAACCTCAAGCGCTGGACTAAATAAGAAGAAAATAAAAAATAGCTATTGGTTTTGCTTGCTTTTTTGGTTGTTGAATGAGCATTTTGATCATTGATGGATTGATTGGAGTGAAATTTCACGGCTGAAATACTACTGAATTCAATTTGATACAAATGCATAATCCTACAAATAAGTTTCTTTATATAATTTTCACCCTTACTTATCACTAAAACTTAACAAACATAATTTTATTAAGTTTTTCATTAGCTCTAAACTTAAAAAGTATCATTATTTAAAAAAATTTAAATAAGTAACTTTTTTGAAATATTATATTTTTGTAATTACATAAATAGAAAAATGATATATAAAAATATTTCTATTATTCATAGACTATAAAAAAAATGGACATTTGATATTAAGTAGATCAAGTGCATACATAAATATAAACTAAATGATGGATTAACCATAGTGATTATTAAATAAATATATTTTATTTTTTATGAGAATAAAATTCTTAATTTTTCTAACAAGATAATATTTTATAGTATATTTTTCTTACCGTGACTTTGAAATGAATTTTTTTTCATTTAAATATATTCCATAAAAATAAATTATCTAAACTAAAACTACCAACTAAAACTAAAATTTATATTTAGGTAATTAATTTTGTTACTTATGAATATTGACTATATAAACCAAGATGCTTTACCAAGGATAGATTCCATGCTCAGTCGGGCATAGCACTGGATTATAGTTGCTAAGCACACGGCATCCCACTTCGGCATTCGATCTCTCGCAAAATTGCCTCTCGAAAAAGACCGAACAGCTTGGTGATCATGAAAAAATACTAAAAAAAGGAAGTTTCGAGAGATTAAATGATTACACTAAAAGGAAATAGCAATTTGAAAAAAAAGAGCATATTCCTTTTTTTTTAGCCCTTGGGCAGGAAAGCAGCAGAGCGCGATGGCGGAGAAAGAGAAGGCGATGAACAACAAGGCGGGCAAAAGGAGAACGCCAAAGCAGGATCCACGCCGCCTCACGTTCGTCAAAAAGAAGCGGCTCGATCACAACCTCAAGCGCTAGACTGAGGTGCAAGAATCTCTTTCTTTGCTTTGAATAATTCTTTCCTTGGACAAAACAAATCTTCTCCTCCTCCTCCTCCTCCTCCTCCTCAGGAGCACGACGATCCAGTGCCAGAGCCAGAGGCGGAGATGGAGATGGAGCCAGAGCCAGAGGCGGAGAATCCCATTGCCACAATGTATGTGTGGCCATGTATCATCCTATAAATGTCTGGATCCTCGTCTGGATCTCAATCGTTCTAAATTAATCAATCTTTCTGTTCTTGGTTCTAGGGTCTGTCTCGATCTGGATCGTTTCACGATGCAACTATTTTTCTAGAGTTTTGGCCATGGCGGAGCTTGCAATTGAAAGAATTTAAGCGGTGCAAATCTCTATGGCTCCTTCGAAATTGAGATCTCAACATAGAGCATGAATATGGATCTACTGGTAGCAAGCTGCAAAACAGGATCCTCCACCAGTGTATCCCGGAAGAAAAGAATGCCAACTTGTCATTTGAGCGTCGATCGGACCTTTTTTCACGCGCTCAATCCTCTGATCCGTCTCGTCCATAGTTTTCTTCCCAGCATCCATGAGTTGCTGGTTTGACATTGCTACAAAAACGAAGACCAAAGAGCTTAGAGAATCAAGCGAGACAAGTCGCGACTTACTGGACACCATCTTTAAGTTTGGATCCGTGAGGTCAGTGCGAGCACATTCGCCACCTTCCCTCAACTGCGACCTTTTGTTCCCCAGCGAGCTCGTGTACCTGGGCGAAACCAAGGAAAAAGAGAAGAACTTGTGAGACACCGGCATGGCGAAGGAATGCATACACAAGAACTCACGTTTTGCGCAGGGCCACATACGAGTTGAGCTCCTTGATCTGCAAGAGACACCATCGTAGCGCTCGCAAAATCTCCTGGCCTGGAACTTACCAGTGACTGCTCCTTTTCATTCAGCTGCTTCGTCAAATCCGGTGGATTCATCGACTCCTCCTCCTTGATCTCCCTAAACTCCTTCATGAGCCTACATTGACCCTTTAGCGTCTCTAGCTAGCACAGCCAGGAGGCAGCGAGACCGACCTCTTGCACTCGCGCAGCCCCTCCAGATCCTTGCTCTGCCGGCCAGGCTCCTTGATCTTGTCCATCTTGGATCAGTGAGAATTTCTAGAGAATTTCTATAGCGAAGCGAGCATGGCGACTGACGAGAGAGCCCGGAAGAGATCCTTGTGGCCATCTAGATCTGCGATCGTCGGGCTGAGCTCGGCCATCGTCTCGCGCCTACAGCCCTCCCGCCCAAACCCCCGCTAAAACCCTAAATTCCAACAAATATTCCTTCTTGGCCGCCATTCGCGCTTCGATAGCCCTAAATTCTAGGAATATGCTCAGGGTTCTCTAATATGCAGCACTTTGGAAAGGGCCTGGTTCCCTCCAACACCTTGACGAAAGTGTGGACGTCGCCCCACAAGCCCAGCCCACATTGCATGACCAGAATCCACAGGCAAACGCTCAAATCCACCGCCCAGCCCAGCCTCGACAGGGATTTGGAGCCTCCCTGCCACAAGAGACGAAGAGCGGCTTGATCCCATGAATTTGTTGCGGACATGGGAGAATGAAAAGTGATGAGAGACTATCTTCTTCACTTACCGTGTTCCATCCAAACGCATCTAGGACGAAAGACTCACGTGGTCCCCGTATCTTGGTGTCCATACCTCCTCTGAAGGTATAAACACTTGGGAGAGGGTCTCGTGACTCGGTGGGAGCAGGGCCTCTCGAGTCTTCTCTTTAGAAGTTTCTACATGACTTAAATGGAGCTCGAGGGGATGGAGCTTTGATAGGACTTTCACTGACCTTTCAGCGAGAATCAAGGGATAAACTCTTTAAGGTTTCTCGTTTGACCATGACTTTGGCATTTTTTTATAAGGGCCTTCGTCTGAGCGGGAAGATCTTCCTCTGGCAGCTTCGTCCAGGTCGAGCAAGTTCTACCTTGCTCATCGCCGGCAAAAGGTTGCGTTCCTCCGTGTAATCTTTCCCTCTCTCACGCTCAATCACAGAAGGATTTCGGCGACATTGCTGACCGAGAAGCCAAATCCGCCAGCGCCAGCGTCGCAGGAGCCGATTGGCAAGTAGCTCGAGCTCATCGAGCTCAAGCAAGCCCGAGCGGAGCAAGGGTTTAAACGGTACATACTCCTCCCACGGTCCTTTTTCTTCTACTTGTTTCCTGTGATCGATCGATCGTTCCTTTTCTTCAGGATTTTGTGATACCAATTTTGGATCGACTGCTGATCGTGACTACGACCTTCTTGATTCCTTTGGTATATATTTCTTTCGTGGTTCTCTTTGTTCTTCACATGTACGAGAGTTTCGGGTGGTGGAGACGAGCAGACTATCTCAAAGTACATTTCTCTGAGAGCTGGAATGAGCTCCATCACTTGCGATGAGCAATGGTTTGATCACTTCCTCGTTCAACACATCGCCGTGGCTTACTACTTCCTCACTTCGCTTATGTACGCCATCAGCCCACGCATGGCATGTAAGAATTTCTAGCTACTTGCACCATGGCAGATCACTTGTGGAGAAACACGACTTCTCAACTTACGACAAGTTCATCATCGAGAAATGTATTGCAAGTTCACTGGTTCACCCAAAATGGTTATATAGCAATTCCCACCTGTAGCTAAGATACCAGTGACAAGAACTTTGAGGAATTTTCAATTTTCAGCTCGAAGCTTGCAGAGTGCAAGGCTTCAAAGCTCGTCAGCCTTGGGACAACACTACGTCAATAGAAGTTTACGAAGCCTCCAATTTCAAGAGTTTGGATCCAAGGTAGACTATTTAAGAAACTCACCGACTCTTCAAGTTTATTCCAGAATTAAATTATAAAAAACGTCATTTAAATTTTTAACTTGATGTTTTTGACCCTTGATCGACTCCCAGAATTCTTGAGCTATCGAATCCTTCCACGTGGGAATTGTGGTGGCGACTCAAGCGTCGTCACCATCTCCCCATTGGTGGACTTGGATCGTCCAGGCTCGTACGTGGTCGTCGCAGAGATGCCAGGCACGCAGTCGGCCACCGTGGACATCGCTTGGGTGGAGGACAAGTCGGGCTTTGTGTTCAAGATCACTGGCGTTGCCGAGACGAAGATGATGGCGGAGAAGCGGTGAGAGTAGAGCGGGGAGAAGCGAGCACCAAAGTGTTTGCTCGCAGGCTTTACTTCCCCACGGTGTTGTGCAGGATGTGGCAACATATCACCTTAGTGATGGGCTTCTCAAGGTGACGCTACCCAAACATGTTCCAAGCCTTGGGCAAAGTATAGCGGGCCTATGGAATAAAGCGTTAAAGCATGTCATATGCCAAGGTGTTCAGTTTGGGAGGATGAGGGCGAAGTACTGAGTGTATGTTGTAAAACCTTCATCATAATCAATATCACATTTAAAATGCTGCTTTTTAATTCTATAAAAGGTTATGAGAGAAACTACAATATTTATTGCGTCATGAAGTTTATTATTGCAGACCTAAGAAACATTAAAAGCTTGCTCTTTGAATATGCTTCCAGGATTTCCTCTCGATGATGAGAGAATTTTTGAGGCCATGGCCAAGAACCATGTGTTTGCAGGGCATTAAAGCTCGGCCATCTCGCTCTTCTAGTTAATGCAGCTTGAGGGAACTATCAGATCCAACCTCAAGCCAAAGGATGTTTTGAAAATTACATTTTAGACAAGGACAGGTCATTATGAGTTTTTGGTGATGTTGTTTAGTTTTGACAAATGCTTTTATAACTTTTTAAAGATTGATGAATTAAGTTTTATACCCTTATTTAGGAAAATTTACAATTAATTATTTTGATGATATTTTAGTATTTAAGGAGGAACATGGTATGAAGTGTTTTACAACTTTTGAGAGATAACAAACTCTACTCAAAGTTATCAAAGTGTGAGTTTTTTTAAAGAAGATTGGATATTTCAGGCATTTGATTTTAGTACATGAAATGAAAACTTACAAAAATTCACATCGTGGTTAATTGGTTTATACCTTCAACAGTGAGGGCTGTTGATATAGAGGGCCCTTTCCCATCCTGGCTTGCTGCCATGCGTGTTCCAGAACACAGGTGCTACTGAAACTAAAACAGCGTCTTACTTCTTATTACATCAACTGGTTGCTAAAAGTTCAACTCCATCAACCACAGCTGGCAAGGTGACTTTGGATACCCTCAACCTCACCGAGCTCTGGATTGATACTGATAAGCTCAGCATCCAGTCGCATTCCCTGAAGAAGCTCGAGGTTATGAACAACAAAGATCTTCAATTGATCGTCCTCCGTCGGCAAATCTAGAGTACTTGAAGCTCTGAGTCTTGAAAAAATGAAGCTGTGCTTCTAGCCAACATAGCAGGTGGCTGTGTACGTTGGACCTTTCAAACTTCCAAGGGAGAGTCTAACAAGTACAGCCAAACTCAGGTGCTTGAGATTTTGATTCAGAGGCTTTCATTCACTGGATGCTCCAAAGAAGCTCGAACTCTTTTAACCTGTCTGGGAGTTGTTGAAGAGATGCTGGTGGAAGTAGATCACGCTGAGGAATAACGGTACTCGTTTCATTGATCATCTCGATGCAACGATGTTTCAGCTCCGGAGTTTGCCAGAAGTCTCCTCACTCCATAAGCTGGTGATCACCTGCTGTTTCGAGCTGCTTCCAACGATCAACTCCAAGGAAGGTGATTTAGTCGTAGTATCCTGAAATGTAGTCGTAGTCGACATTAAGAGCATGAACAACGATCTGTTTGTAGCCGCATGGTGGAGGGCCGCGGCCAGAGTTATTCCTTCAAACATGATGATGAACGAGTGCACAAGTGTGTAGAAGTCAAGGATAAAAAACTAATTAATAAATAAAATAAAGATAAAAAAATAAAAGAAAAAGGATAATGAAGCATCCGATGGCGATGCTCTGATCGAAGAAAAGCCTTAAAAAAATCCGAAGCCTTCCCCTCCCCTGTGCAGCTCGCTGCTGATCTGAAGAGAACCTCGAGCACATCTACTCCAAATGATTGGAAAAGCTTGTCAAACACCAGCAGCATACAGAAAACATTCAGCGAATGATTGTGAAAACTAGAAGAATAAACGTATTGAAAAAAATAAATGATTAAAAAGCCAGACCTCGAGCATGTTGTAGATCACATAGAGCTTGATGTTTGGCTCGAATCTGATAGAGTGATAGATGTACCTGATCTCTGGAACTCATACACACACATAAAAAAAATTGAATAAATGAATTTGAGCAGCGAAAAATGATTGAGGAGCTCACCAGCTTGCTGAAGAGCCTTCACTCCGGCGATTAATATGATCAAACAACATAAGTCGCACCAGTCACTGGGTCCGACTGTCCGGAAGTTCCTGCTCGAGAAATATATCAATAAAAATGAATGTATAAAAGATGTAAAATCACCTTACACGGTTCGGTAAAACCATCAGGAGCCGCAATGGAGTCACAGTTAAGAGTGACAAGAAAGAGTCTAGGCAGACAAAGAAACAAGCTGAGTAAGAAAAAACAAGAACAAAGTGAATAAATTCAAACCGAATGCAACCAAACAAAATAAAACTGGAAAAAAAAACCATAAAACTGACCAGCTCGCAGCGCCAGGGAACATTGCACAAGACATTGTACCCGCGCTCCCGGCTTTGTTCGCTTCCGGTTCTTGTCGTAATTTGCAGAGCAGCTCCATCAGTGAGCTCGTCCATCACATGTTGAACCGGAGAAAAATCCAGTTCCATGTCTGAAATATTTCAAAAAATAAAAAGAATTATATCCTGAAGAAAACAAAAAATGTCGCAACATACTTACACTCATTGCCAGCATTCATAAGTTGTCTCCAGTGAGCTCCACTGGTGGGATCAAAAGCTGGTGGAAGAGCCGGGAAAGGTTTGTCAGCCTCGTTCTCGAGCTTCTTCTGTGAACCCGGTTCGGTTTCACCATCGGGTTCAAAGTTGATAACCGAGGTATGTTGGCGGAGAAGCGGGCTTCTCCGCCAGAGGTGTGATGAACGACTGAGGTAGCCGGGTCTTCAACCCGGGAGCTGCATGTGTCTTCGTCCACCAGAAGAAGAGATCCATTGGCGGGCTCTGAAGAGCTCTTGCTTTCTGCCGGTGGGAGATCAAGCCTCGGGCGGTGATGGAGGCCGCCATTGGAGTGAACAGTGGCCTCCTCGATCTCTGGCGGGCTCAGCTCGGAGCTGGAGCGGGTGGGAGACCCTAAACCCTAAACCCTAAACCAGAAACATCGCGGAGCAGCACATCGTAGGAGAAGCTCCGGCTCATGCGATGATGATCCTGGGATGCTGCTGGCGCCATGAGTTGTGGACTATGCTCATCTCCCCCCTCCCCGCGACACTCAAGCTCCAGGAACCCTAATTCTTCCAGAGAAAGGAATATTCGCCCGCATCTCCATGTGGCCGCCGACAACTGGACAGCCTACGTGTCTGCGATCTGGGCTCAATAAAAGAGTAAAAATTCAGGGTTTTTCTCCGGAAGCAGCAGAAGAACGAGAAGGAGATGGAGGATCCGAACAAGGATTCAAGCGGCGGCGATGATCAGGTAATGATCTCTCTCTCAGGCTCAGCTAGAGGAGAAGGGTTTCCCGCTAGGTCACAGTGACGATCCACTTCGCTGAGCCAGATCTGGTCTACACTATCCACTACAGCGGTGGAGTGCTGGCGCAGGCAGCCTTCGATGAGAGCGTTGAGAAGGGGATCTCTCAGTTCCTGGAAGCGACGGGGCTGTCCAAGGAGGACTTTCTGAGCCATCCGGAAGGTATGTGGTCCAAGCCTTGTTTCTGGTCGACAAAAGTTGAACTCTTTGTTCTTCTGCAGCGAATCTGGATGGGAAGACGGTGGCGGAGTGGGCCAAAAACGCTGTTCCTCGGGTGATCCTCACCACCAAGCCGAAGAATGGGCTTCTTCACAAGCTGCAGTGGAAGACGAGGGAGGCCCAGGTCGCCAGGCAAGTGATGGGTGCCCAGGAGGAAACGGCGAGGCAGAAGGGTGTGGCGATGGCCAGAGCTGTGATGCTGAATCCGCAGCAGGAGCAGCTGGGGCGGCTGCAGAGCGAGAAGAATCAGCTGAAGTACCAGCTGCTTGCCGCGCAGGAGGAGCTAAAGGGGAAGGCGGAGTCCGAGAAGCAGCAGGTGATGATCAGGGAGGCCGAGCAGCAGCAGATGAAGATCAGGGAGGCGGCTCAGAAGGAGGCGAGGAAGCAGGAGGAGGAGGCTGCGAAGGTGGCGAAGAAGAGGCATGACCAGCTGGTGAGCCACATCGACAGCCTCCAGCGCCAGCTGCGAGAGAAGCGGGAGGAGCTGGACACGCACAAGAAGCTCCTCCGGGAGCAGCGAGATCTGCTGGACAAGCAGAGCGAGCTTGTCCAGCAGGAGGTTGACAAGCAGCTTCTCCTCCAGCAAGCCGAGCACGAAGCCGAAAAGCTTCTCCTCCAGGAGAAGGTCATGGAGAAGCTAGAGCTCTACAATGCGGAGAGGCGCTACCGGGACAATGACACAAAGCAGAAGAAATCCCTCCAGAAGGACCTGGAGAGAAAGAAGGTGGAGAAAGTGACTGATGAGATGACGATCGTGGGCCTGGAGAAGCAGATAGGGGAGCTCAGCAGCAGGGTGGTGAGCCTGGACCAGGAGAATGGGAAGCTCAGGAGCAGGGTGGCGACCCTGGAGCAGGAGAATGGGAAGCTCAGCAGCAGGGTGGCGAGCCTGGAGCTCCAGAACTCCACGCTCGTGCAGAAGAACGAGGAGATGAGCACCCTGTTCCTCAAGGAGATGATGGAGCTGCGGGACATGATGAGCACTCAGGAGAAGGAGCACAAGATCACCGTTGGAGCCCTGTGCAAAAGGATTGACGAGCTCGAGACCGGTCGCCCGGTCCCGGTGTAAGCTTCCTCTTCCCATCGATGGATCGAATCGATCGATGCCAGCTTTTTTCCTTTTAGTTTCTGGCTTTCTACCATCGCCTCCTTTATTTTCTGGTTAGCTACTACGTTTTGTACATGAATATATCTACAACGATCCCCCTGGGATTCTCGTCACTGGCGAACTGGCCTTGGAGATGTGATCAGCTTCGATCCCCCCCGCTTGCTGGAGGAGTATATGGAGCGGGTTAGCCAGGATCGATCAACGGGAGGCGGCGATGGATCAACACTGGGATTGAGCTTCTCGAGTGCTCGGGTGTTTTCCGAGCTGCAGGGGTTCCTGGAAGATTTCCCTTGGAGTACCCGGTGCTCGTCATGGAGGGGGTTTGGCACCGGGAGATGCCCCCGGGAGTTCTTGATTTCTTGATACTAAACAATTCTGGCTCCTTGTTAAGAATACTAACACAATATAATTCAGAACAATAACTGCCACAGGGCCTCTTTTGAGCTGCATGCACATATAGAAACCAGCCAACTCAAAGGACGCCGAGCCATTTGATCACAATTACCTCGATGACAATCCTCATTCCTGCTCAATCACTGTCGCTTACGCCTTGTAGCACCTGCACAGAAAAATAATATATTATATTATCTGAAACGCCTGAGGCGCACCTTGCTGCTACAAGTTCGGCAATCTTCGCAACCAAAGTAGACTTATTTGGAATCTGCAAAACCAAGGCCAAATCTAAAATCATCATCTTAATAATATATTACAAGTCGAACCTCAGTAATTTCATAGATGGTAAGTTCCCACTTATTTGAGAGAACGAGGACACGGGTCTCACTCACTTCTACTTTTTTTTTATGATGCGAGATCTGCTTTGCCTCTACCTGTAATCTTTCCGCGGCCTGTTCTAATGCGTCCTCTATCCTGCGAGTTACTATAGCTTGTAAGGCCGAAGGAAAGAGGCCCCAAAATTTGTCCTCCGGTCGGAAAATCTGGGGCAGGCAGATATTCCATCAGTTCTTCGATCTGTAAAAATCATGGTTGCAGTGACGTATCCTTTCTCGTTGAATTTTACAGCGTTGCTAAGAAGACTTACCTGCAGAGTTAGAGTCAGATGCGAATAAGCTGCAAGAAGTAACTGACCAGGATTTGGCGGATTCGAGCCGACTCCCCGAGCAAAGGGCTAGGAACAGAATCCTAAGTCAACTCAAGACCCTTCGCGACAAGATCAAATGATTCTTCAACACGTTGCAGGATCTCTGTAGGTTGCAAGTCAAGCTCCATGTTACCCGCTTCAATTTTGCTGCAATAGAACGAGAGCAACCAAGCTCAGCATGACGTGAATTTAGATCCGCTTCTTACCTGTAATCAAGGATAACATTGATAATCCCCAGCAATACCTCTCCACTGCTGCGAGTAGTAGAAGCATACTCGCCTTGCTCATCCGTTATGTCCGTTTCAGCGTCCATGCCAATCACGGCATTCATTGGAGTACGAATTTCATGCGACATGTGAGCAATCTTTGGAAGCCAAGTACCAGATATAAGTTGTGTGAAATACTTTAGTACCAGGAATTTTCGATGAAGAGGACCCTGTCGCGCTTGGGTGAGGAGAGCGCTGGATTGGGAGGAGCGTCCACAATCCTCCGGATCTCTCAGGCTGGCAACTGGTACGAACTGCAAAAGAACGCATAAAAAACTAGTAGTTAAAGTAGAAACAGATTCTCACCTTTTAGAGCTGATCCTCAGAAGGAAGCGTGGACTTCGTCTCCGGTTTTTTCCACTCTCCATTCTTTCTTCGCTAATCAAGAAGGTAGCAAATCAACCTCCTGCGAGAAAAACAAAGTTACGTTGTAATATTTGCACTGCTCGAAAAAACTTATCGCAATTTATCGGTGAGTGGAATAAGTGACCTCGCCAGAAGAAAAGCACTGGTCCAGCACATTGTCCAGCCCCTTCATACTTTCGTCTCGGGTAAATCAGTCGGCAACGATCGTAGCTACTGTGCTTTCTTGAGTCCGGGCACTGTCTGGTGAGACAAGCAGCTTCCTCGCTCTTCTGCAAGCAAATCAATGAGAAAAACCAGAACCTTCTTGAAGTCAAAATTTTCTTGTCTCGTATTTTATCGCCGTCAATCACATGCTCTTTGCAAGCAGCATTGCTTGCATTCCCAAAAAGATCTTGTTCCTAATCAAAAGAACTCAAGATGGAGAAACACGTCAAAGGAAATACTTACACTGAAACTAGAGATCAAGTGTTCTAGTCAAGTCAAACTTGAAACTAGAGCTGATCATCATGGTAGAATTGGGATGATAATTCTGCATATCACTTAGAATGGCCCCGTAGGTTGTAGCACCTTCTTGTATGTAGTGCGTCATATTGCTCGTGAACCAGCCCCTCTGATTGACTTCGTCCTAAAAGAAAACTTCACAAGATTAGTAAATGTGGAACTTTCTCTGCACTTACAAAATATGATAACTCAGAGTCTAAGCATGCAGAAATTGAGACCACGCTCGTTCTGAAAAACACTCCGGCTTGTAATATCTCTGGCGGCGTCTGGGACGATGCGTTAAACCATCCAGATCCAGTGTTTCCATATGGAAGATCAAGCACAGTCCCGCTGTGACAGGAATCGAATATGGCAGTCAGATGGACTCCTCCATGGAGATACTGGACCATGACGTTATGAAGTATGTCATCTACCGAGTACTGTAACAAAGACAGAAAATGAAATTGTAAACAGCGATGAAATCAACAAACCCCCGTCGTTGAAGCATAAAGCCTCGTCGTTTCCATCCAGCTCGTCCAAGTTTTTGTCGGGGAATTGAGTCCCGTGTCCACAAAAGTAAAACAACAATCTTTCGCCAGCGCTAGCAGCCGCAGCAAAATCTAGTATAGCGGTCAAAGCTTGGATCACTTCTGGGCCTGAAAAAACAAACACTTACAACAAAATCTCAAATAATCACATTACCATACTCTTGAATATTGTGGTTTTATACTTCCGACCGATCAGGTTTAATATGTCCTCTAAATCCTTCAAGCATCCTATCCCACCGTCGTCAACCGTTAGAAGTAAAGCGTTCATAGACGTTGACAATATCGTAGGATCTACCACGGAGCTCGTACATGTCTTGCAACTGAAGGAATTTTCGAGCGACACAAAGTGCCCTTCAGCTTGTGACAAAAGCACAAGAAGGACGATAACTCCTGCACCTGTAAACAGCAAAAATCTCATAACATTCAATCATCATAAGACATAATACAGACCTTTGCCTTGCCATAAGGACTCGGACAGTAGGAAGAGAGACTCCCATATCCGCCGGTTGAAAAGAATCTGGCTGGTGTTCGCGAGGGGAGATAATCCGGGAAGGCCGCAGATGTTCTTCTTCTTGGGATCAACAACCTGCCATTGAAAATTTAGAGCTCCTGGATAGAACAAGAGAATGGCTTTTACCTGGACGACGACCACGGCAATGGCGCCCAGGAACAAGAAGAACAATATGCATCTACCGGTAGCAAGCTGCAAAACAGGATCCTCCACCAGTGTATCCCGGAAGAAAAGAATGCCAACTTGTCATTTGAGCGTCGATCGGACCTTTTTTACGCGCTCAATCTTCTGATCCGTCTCGTCCATAGTTTTCTTCCCAGCGTCCATGAGTTGCTGGTTTGACATTGCTACAAAAACGAAGAGCAAAGAGCTTAGAGAATCAAGTGAGACAAGTGGCGACTTACTGGACACCATCTTTACGTTTGGATCCGTGAGGTCAGTGCGAGCACCTTCGCCACCTTCCGTCAATTCCGCCTTTTTGTTCTCCAGCGAGCTCGTGTACCTGTGGAAAAGAGAGAAGCACTTGTGAGACACCGGCATGGCGAAGGAATGCACACACAAGAACTCACGTTTTGCGCAGGGCCACATACGAGTTGAGCTCCTTGATCTGCAAGAGACACCATCGTAGCGCTCGCAAAATCTCCTGGCCTGGAACTTACCAGTGACTGCTTCTTTTCATTCAGCTGCTTCGTCAAATCCGGTGGGTTCATCGACTCCTCCTCCTTGATCTCCCTAAACTCCTTCATGAGCCTGCATTGAAACTTTAGCGTCTCTAGCTAGCACAGCCAGGAGGGAGCGAGACCGACCTCTTGCACTCACGTATCTTGGCAGTGAGCTCCTCCAGATGCTTGCTCTGCCGGGCAGGCTCCTTGATCTTGTCCATCTTCTGGAAGCCAGACCTGCATTTGGCCAGTGAGAATTTCTAGATATCTAGTGCGAGGGCGACTTACGATTGATCCTTGAGCTGGCCACCTACATCTACCTTGACGACAATCACGGCAATGACAATGAGGACAGGAAGAACAGTATGCATCTATCGCTAGCACGCTGCAAAACAGAGAAAGAAAAGAATGCCAACTTGTCATTTGAGCGTCGACCGGACCTTTTTTACGCGCTCAATCCTCTCATCCGTCTCGTCCATGGTTTTCTTACCAGCGTCCATGGGTTGCTGGTTTGACATTGCTACAAAAACGAAGAGCAAAGATCTTAGAGAATCAAGCGAGGCAAGTTGCGACTTACTGGACGCCATCTTTACTTTTGGACCCATGAGGTCGGTGCGAGCACCTTCGGCACTGCCACCTTCCATCATCTCTGCCTTTTTGTTCCCCAGAGAGCTCGTGTACCTGGGTGAAACCAAGGAAAAAAGGGAAGAACTTGTGCGACACGGCGTAGGAATGCACACACAAGAACTCACGTTTTGTGCAGGGCCACATACGAGTCGAGCGCCTTGATCTGCAAGAGGCGATGAGATCGATCGCTCGCAAAATCTCCTGGCCTGGAGCTTACCAGTGACTGCTTCTTTTCATTCAGCTGCTTCGCTGGGTTCTTCGACTCCTCCTTGATCTGTCTATCAAACTCCTTCATGAGCCTGCATTGACCCTTTAGCGTCTCTAGCTAGCACAGCCAGGAGGCAGCGAGACCGACCTCTTGCACTGGCGCAGCTCCTCCAGATCCTTGCTCTGCCGGCCAGGCTCCTTGATCTTGTCCATCTTGGATCTGCATTTTGGCAGTGAGAATTTCTAGAGAATTTCTAGAGCGAAGCGAGCATGGCGACTGACGAGAGAGCCCGGAAGAGATTCTTGTGGCCATCTAGATCTGCGATCGTCGGGCTGAGCTCGGCCAT